CTTTTAGCTCCTGGTGGAGAAAGATGTTTTAAACAGCTGAAGTGATGACTGGAACCTGTAGTGCAAAATAAGCCCATCTCTCCCAAACACCTGGTGTCATCACAAATTAATAGCTGTTGCTAAACACATGCTTATGGTACAATGGCATGTGCTCTTTGCAGATATATCAAGTGATTATCGAAAGGGTTTCTGGCCTATATTTGTCAGTACGACCATTGAATCACCTTCTCTTTCCGAATCAATAACACAGGCATATGCCTCCATATCATTGTTCATTAAAACTCCTTAGCCATCAGAATAACATATGATACATAGCTAATATGCAACGAAGCAAATAAGTTAAATCTCCCATGTGTAACTTGCCTAACGGTTCATGTCTACTAGACTAGATCATCGCTGTATGGGTGATTCATACTCATTTAAAACACGACATTAGACATTTCGTCAATACGGATAATAACCAGCCAAGATGCATCAGTTAATTAACTTTTCCTATTTTCATCTGGTCCGCAGACTAATCTTACGTTTTGTCAACGTGAGTTGTTCAGGTATTAGAGAGCCGAATAAAGTTGATAACTGCATACGTCCCTCATTGGTTCTATCTATTCATGATTACACTGCACACGTTGTACAGCGTGCAGCTTGCATTATTAGAATGTCATAACATGTCTGGATATCAGACTGTAAGTAAAGACGTGTTGTCTGTATCATTAATTACATCTGTTCATATTTACCACCTCCAACGTAAGTACATGGTGAAATCGGTATAGTTAGGAAATATCAATAGCCATATCTGACGAGAAGCTGAAGGCTTTAACGACTTTATCACTGTAATCACTACACAAAGCAAAGTTTGTACAGTTAACCATCAACGGAATGTAACAGATCAGAAGGATCATCATATTCCCATCTCTGTCACAGGAAATGTACCAAAGACTATGGACAAAACCGGATCAGTTACACACATGTAACAGAATGTATTCTTCCTCGTGCAAAAAACTATGTAGAACGTCAATGCAAACGAATACTCAATCTTAACTATCCTCAGAAACATATTCTGTTTGCTGTAAAGGAAGCAATAGCTTTGAAACTTATATGAAAGGATCATTAAAAATCAGAGATGACACCAGGTGAAAAGAATAAGCGAAAAGAATAAGCATGTGCTGCCCCACCGGTGGCACCCGATACAAAACAGTATATGCCAAAATCCATGTTATTTCCTCCTCCACTCACCCTTTCTGTAGTTCAAAAGTCAGAATGAAATCTAGAAGTTTGAATATTCCATCTGGCTGGAGCTTCTGATCAATCTATTTGTTTCTAACAAAAGGATATATCATTGGAGGACAAAACATGAGTCCATATATACGCCACATAAACAAATATAATCTGCAACATTAATCAACAAGTAGTTTTCTTTGACTTTTCACCACTCATCGCAAACTCATCTTTCCATTTTACGTTATGAAGTAGATACATGATATGGTTGTCATTGCCTTTCCATTAACGGAATAGACGTCTGTGTTAGCGTATTGGGTGCGTCTATCGAGGAAAGGTAAGGCACTCCCTGGTGCCAAATCTCTATGTAGTTATTGCTTCAAATGTGTTTACACTGGTCACACCACAGAATCTGTCATCTAGGGGAAAAGAGATTTGTTCAATATAGTTTTTGGAGTGAGTGAGTTTATTTTTACACCGCTTTTAGCAATATTCCAGCAATATCACGGCGGGGGACACCAGAAATGGGCTTCACACTTTGTACCCATGTCTTCGGTGTGACCAGCGAACGTGACTACCCCACCGCCCCTCAACATAGCGCTCGTAGCAGGATGGATTTACGTCAGTCTCAATTCGTTTGAGGTTGTTAATCGAACTGGACGTCTTTCAGACAGAAATAACGTTGCCTTCAACTGGGTAAATTGTTTTGCATAAGTCACAGATAAGTTCAAGGGCATGGACATCCATGAGGTTAACGTGTTCCTGCTGGGAAATTCATTTGTCTACTAAAGTCAGAGTTAATCTGTGTTTTAAATACTAACTGAACGCTACATTGCTACTTGTTACTCCCCATGTTGTCTATATTTAATAGAAGCTATTAACTGACAGGCGAGCTAGACTTTAGAGAGACGGAATTTGCAATGAAGGGTGTCGTTTTCAGCCATGCCAGTGACCACTGATCCTAGCTTCCCAAATCTACATTTGTGCATACAATGATGCAACATTTCGTTTCACGTCGCTGATCTTACTTGTCGTCTTTCAGACAGAAGTGACATTGCACGACAGCAGGACCTGGTTACATTATGTCGTACTTCTCGCAATTTCGGCCATTGACATCCCTTAGAGGAATACCACCCAACATGAAAATTCATCTGGTTCCTAGTGTCAGAGTTAATCTATGATTGGAACACCATGTAAACGATCCATTAGTCGCTTGTTAGCCTCCATGTCTGCCCTGTGCTTCCCTGTAGAGGAGGTATTGGAACACGGTAACCTGTGGGTTTCAGGCGACACAAAGTGTGCACGGTACCTCAGCAATAATAGAACTCGAAGTTCTGTTGTTGGAATCCTAAATTTGGCCCCACTTTAATTATCCTCGGGATTTGTGCTTTTGTACTTCAAACCTTTATGATTTTCGTCATTTGTTCAAAACGGTCCAACACACTCACGAACTTGATGCATGGCAGTCCATATTCGCCTCAAAAGATAGACATGCGTTAGAGAAGTGTATATATATCCTTCCAGAATCAACCTTGCTTCAACTGTGTAAACATATTTTATGAACAAGCTTGCAGACACAGTTTCAAGACCAGTGGTCCAAACCTAAACCATATTTTTTGTTCTGACAATGATATTTCTCTTGCGTATTGACAGTCAGAAAAGTGCTTGACATTTCAAACCACCAAACACTGTCTGAACGTAAAGAACCTTGAGTCATGATGTGCCATGTATTCACGAAAGTTCCAAGCGTAAGTCAAACTGTTGAACCATGGGACCACACAGGTTGAGTCAATACTGCACCTGTTACGGCAATATTGGTTTAGAAACTACTAAAGCTACCTGCTTCTTTGAAGTGAATGCCAATGAACTTTTTCTGATTTTTTATGGTGATCTCCAGACTAATGATCATATGTTGTGAACATGACCTGCGTAACTATCTACTTCTAGACATCGTAACGTTGATAACTGCAGATGGATGTCATGGGTCAGTTGTTTGTTGTACGACACTACTTTCCAAAGAAAATTCATAAATCCAGGTATCAAAGTCTCATGATCAACACTGTCTGGATATTGGGTGACTGTGATATAATCGAGTAAAGGTATAGGTACATGTGATTTCTAAGCATGGTAACGACTTGGTGTGTGAGAGATAGTCGCATGTGTGAACTGTACGTTAGCATGAGGAAGCGCTGGTGGCAAGTATGGTTTAGTGCTGGCATTCAAGGTTGGCATTGTGTTGGCATGGTTTAGGCATGGTTCTAGCATGTGTAGAGGCATAGTTAGTTGGTAAGCACTCAGCACTATTCCAGCTAAATGGCGCCGGTCTGTAAATAATCGAGTGTAGACCAAACAATCCAGTGATCAACAGCACGAGCATCAATCTAAACAATTGGGATACGATAACATGTGTCAACTAAGTCAGCGAACCTGACCATCCGATCCCCTGAGGCGCCTCCTACGACAAGCATGAGTTGCTGAAGACCAATTCTATTTTTAAATATCATTGATTGGATAAAATGTGTATAAACTTCTCTCTTGATGTCAGAAAAATATACACCCGTGAACATCCTGGCTAGAATTGGTCTTCAGCAGCCCATGCTTGTCGTAAGAGGCGACTAAATGAATTGTGAATAACTGGCAGGTGGTCATGATGTTTACGATGAAAGCATACTCTTTAATGAGTCAGTTCTAATAATGGACACCTTATCTTCATAGGAAGTCCAACATGTGAAGATCCTGGCTAGAATTGGTCTTCAGCAACCCATGCCTGTGACTAGTGCGATCAGGTGATGAGGTTCGCTGATTTGGTTGACACGTCGTTGTATCCCAGTTGTGTAGATCGATGCTCACGCTGTTGATCACTGGATTGTCAGGTGCAGATTTAATTATTTACATACCTCCATCATATGGCTGGGTATACAACAACCAAACAGGAACATATACAAATTCCGTTAGAATAGTGCTACAAAGATGGTCATATCTTTGTGAGAGTGTCAGTAGATCTTACCATCTGCGGGGCGTTGGGGTAGCCCACTGGTTAAACCGTTCGCTCGTCACGCCGAAGACCCGGGTTCGATTCCCCACATGGGTACAAAGTGTGAAGCCCATTATGGTGTCCCCCGCCGTGATATTGCTGGAATATTGTTAACGCAGCGTAAAACTAAACTCACTCATTCACTCTTACCATCTGCACCTCGACATCACCCCTCTTGATACGGAATACACATGGACCAAGGATCACTGGATTGTCTGGTCAAGTTAGTTACTGACAACTGCCATGTAGCTGGAATATTGCTGAGAGTGGCGTTAAACAATAAAAAGAAAACTATTTATAAAGTCGTTTGGACTATAATTACTAAGATGATCATTTGTTTTTTGAGACTGTTAGTTGATCTTAACTTCGTTTCTAAATAAGTAGGCAATACTTTTTACAGATGACTGTTTATTCACGGTCGATCATAAATGATGGAGATCTGCAATGAGAGTAAACACATCATGTATAACATGGATAATTAAATAACATATAATCCTCTATCCCTCCCCAGGTCATTGTCGGATCTTGACAAAGATGTGGCAAGGACTGAAAGAAACAGTTCTGACTAGAACTCCGGTTTGAGTTAAATAAAGCATAATGTCTTCAATTGTCCTTAAGTGATTGGGAAAAGTATAAACGTTTGGAACAAACTGGAATAAAGAGAGAAACTGGCAATAAAGCATTCAGGGCTTTCACTGGGTAGACTGTCCTTTGGCCCAGGGACTATTCTGACTCAATAACATGCACGTAATCAGACAGCCAGTTTGGCTTTTTCCTTGGTGCGGGTAGAACGTCGTGGGTGGATCACACTTGTGTCTACTGTTAGGGTCGATGAAGGATCGATGCTTGGTGACTCTGTCAGGACAGTGGGTTCTCTGATCACAGGACAGAGTGGACGGGATCTATCAGGTGAGGGTGGTGTGGATTGTGAGACATCAGGCGTAGCAGCTGGTCTGGACGGCACTGGCTGTTGATGCGGAGTGCGTTGTTCGTCACCAGTAGAGACTGTTGTAGGTGTGGTCAAGTGTTCTGATGTTGACTGAGCCGGATGTGGACATAGTATGGGGGTGGTGGTATTGTCAAGAGTAGATGTTTGTGGCCTTGGCAAGTCATCAGCGATTGAGCGTCTAGATAGAGGTTGGAAAGCAGGGATGTACTTCCTGAGGAACTTCCGATTGCGTAGGGTCACTCTACCTGATCCGTCTACCCGTACAACATACTGGTCGAATTGACGAACTTCGACCACACATCCTGTTTTGTCCCATTTGAGAGGGTGAGGCCCTATCTGGTTCTGGATTCTGACAAAGTCACCAACTGCGAGAGGTGGGAGCTGTTTGGTGTGTTGAGTGAGACGTTCTGCCATCATATGTCGGTTTCTGAGTGCCTCCTCCCTCAGTAATAGTGTATCGCTCCATGTATCATGAGGTTTGTACCGACCGGGTAGGATGGGGATGAAGTCCTTTATGGCTCTGCCAAAAACACACATAGCAGGAGATAACTTTGTGTCTCTGTCTGGGGTGTTCCTGTACTGAAGCATTGCCCGCTGGAAAGCATCCGTGTCAAGTTCACCTTGGGGTCCGGTGTTGTCAGTGATCATGCGTTTGACTGTCTTCACGCCAATTTCTGCCCTGCAGTTGCTGTGGGGGAAGGCGACAGAAGATAGTCGATGATGTACTGACCATGTGTGAAGGAACTCTCTGGTTGCAGAGGCTGTGAATTCGGGTCCCCCCATCAGAGGAAAGTTCATCAGGTATGCCAAATGTGACAAATGTGCGTCGTAAGCAGTTGATGAGTCCAGGTGCACCTCCAACAGTTCTCTCCACTATTGGCCAGTTGGAATATCTGTCGACCAGCACCAGATAGTTGACACCCTTGTAATGAAAGAAGTCAGCGCATAGACATTGGAAGGGGTAAGATGGGTATACTAGTGGTGTTGGTGGGGCTGTTGGTTGTGATGGAGCCATCCGATTGCAGTGAGCACAGTTGGTTCGGAGGGTTGTAACGGCCAATGTGAGTCCGGGCCAGAAGATAGATGCTTCAGCTCTGGACATCATTGATGAGACGCCTTGGTGTGCAGAATGGAGGGCAGTAAGGGCATCTTCACGTAGTGCTGATGGGATCACAATCCGGTCCTTGTATAGCACAACTCCGTCTACCGTGTGGAGATGCTCTCTGAACTGATGATATTCACGTAGTGCGGTAGGAAGTTCAAGGCGGGATTCTGGCATCCCAGTTTCAATAAGATCAACGAGTCTGGCCATGGATACATCGCTAGTGGTGGCAACTTTCACCTTGTTCCACGTGATGGGTTCCAAGGAGCTGATTGCAGATGCAGCAGACTGGAGAGTGGCATCCTCTACACTGTAGTCAGGCTCTTCACTGCATCTGATGGAGGCAAGGATGTTATGACAAACATCCAGAGAAGGGGAAAGTTCAGTACAGTCCATGGCTGCAATATCATCCACTAGAACTATCCTCTCAGGGTTACCAGTTGGGTGACGAGATACAGCATCGGCAGCTCTGTGTTTGGCTCCAGGGATGTGAACCATGTGGAATTATGTATTAACAGTTTGTTCGGAAGAAGCAGGTAGCGATTTTGTCTGCCTTATGAAAGAAATGCAGTATCTCCATCATAAATAAGTAGGCAATACTTTTTACAGATGACTGTTTATTCACGGTCGATCATAAATGATGGAGATCTGCAATGAGAGTAAACACATCATGTATAACATGGATAATTAAATAACATATAATCCTCTAGTTTCCTTGATAACACGACGTGGATACAATATTGACGACAAAGCTTTGAATTTGAAATTATGGGGAAATATCATTGTTACTAAAGCTTACTCAAGCAAATCAGGTTCATTTCAACAGCAAGTAAAGTTAAGGTCCACTTTATCTATAAAGCCCTTATTGATCATTTAACTGGAATGCGCTTGTGTTTCATTTATTTTCACTGCCTGCGTTGCCAGAAGCGAGAGAAAGATTTGTTAAATCCTTTTATCAATGCAGTGGCATGTAACAATGCTTTCATTTCAGTTATGAAGGTACAAAAACATTATATACACTTGCACACAGTAACTCACTAAATGTCGTTTAATTACATATCAGACAATGTCTATTATGTCCGAAGCACCAACTCTAACAGATGGTTTCTGATTCGTATAACGGTGTTTGATACCAGGGGACACAAGAATCCTTCAGGGCATTACGTGATGTCAAAACTGAGAAAATGGATTGTGTGGGGGTTAATGGAGACTGCTGGTGGGAAGCCAATAGAATGTCCGAGTCAAAGGCACGTCGAGAGCCACAGACAAGTCTATTCAATAACAAGAAATGTTCCATTCCAAAGTTGATAACCGGATTTCTGTACATACATAAGTGCTCTTTTTACCCCAGAGAAATGATGCAATTACGTTTTGTGTAATTCCTTTCTACTTTCATCCAACAAAGGAGAAAAAGAACTTCGTGACCTGCTGCTATGTCAGATGGACTCGTGTACTGGACGTACTTAAGTGGTTTCAGTTATACAGGGTTATCCATCTATACGGGCATTTATATGGATGCTGAAGATGTTCAGAACCTGGCTTTCAGACAATGAAACATTCTAACCTCATCGAAGTCGAATATCGCAGTCACTGGCAATGCTCACAGTCATTGGCAAGGTTCGCAAAACATAACTTTTTATAGGGTTCTCTGTAATGTAGGTACAAATAAGATTTACATTATTTACATTCATTCACTAGACACGGGAGTAGTTGGTTCAAAAATAAATATGCTTCAGATCATTACAATGATGTAGAAGAGTAAAGGTCTTATGGACCAGAAAGAGCGGAAACAACCGTTATTGTTATAAACTACATAGACTATGATTTTATTATTCGATTACGAAGACTTGTTACAAGTCTTTAAGGGAAACAAAGACAGGTGATGAGGGGTAATTATATTCATGAACCCTATGGATCAATACGGGAACATACTGGCCAGTTACTCAACAAATAAAGTACATTCATCACTTGAATACGTCGAACATTTTCCGATATTCAAAAGAAAACCGCGTTCCTCTGCTCTGTAACTTTTATCTGAGAATTTCAATCATTTTCTCCAACACGGAAGCATTCGATTCCATACCACGTGTAAAAGTCGTGACACAACAATGAAAATATGTCTTCGTTCCCCTGTTGTATTTCACCAAATGCAATAAAATATCACGTCTGAGCAGTTATGGAACTAAAGCCCCAATAATCTTAAAGCAGTTCTATCCCACCAATTAGCATCATAACGATTGTATTTTTTTAGATGAAGCAATCTTTTTTCAGGCAAACAGTCAAACAATGGCCAAACAAAGCCCACTTCCATTCCAACAAATACCTTAAAGTCCCGTTGGAAACACGCAAACATACTGTGCCCATATAAATGCAAAAAATAGACATTCATTCGACATAATGGCATATTGTTACCGAAAATATGGCCATCTACGTGAGAATTTCTTTAAACTGTATTTAATATCTGATTGCAATGTCTACTATAATATCGTTCAAAATGCTATGGGTTCTCTGTTCTTGAGGGGTGGTGTAGCCTGGTGTAGTTGTTTCTCTCTTTTGTCGATTTCGTTGAGAAACAATCTGACCTTCAGACCGTTGGATTTTACAACTGGGACAGACTTCCACAATGAGATTCTGTACATAATTTTGATATTTTGTCAGGTTTGTTGTATTAGGTTGATAATTTGAAAATACGATAAGCCGAAGCTGTGAATTACCAGCACGTTGATGAAAACTTGATGTCTTACGCTTGTCACACCATTGCAGATTAATTAAAAGATGAAAGAGCTGAACCACTTACACTTTAAGCATGTAGGAATTTGAGGTATACTTCATCACTTGTATTTGGCGGTGGGCTAGCCTAGTGGTTAAAGTGTTCGCTCGTTTCGCTGAAGACCCGGATTCGACTCACCTTGCTAAAAGCGGTGTAAAACTAAACTCACTCACTCACTCACTCATCACTTGAATGAAGGAAAAGTCACTGAGGTTTATACTGTTGCAGATAAGTTTCAAGGAATATATCTGTCACTTGCAGTTTAAACTTAATATTAGGGGAACTATAATCAGTGATATGAATGAAAGAAATACACACAACAAATTTAAAGAAAGAAGGGAAACTGAAATATCCATGTCCCATCACATTTTACTAGGAAAAAAATGGGTAAGCATAAAGATATACAATTGTACCTGTTAGTTACTCAATGTAGGGAAAATGTAACGTTTTGAACGGGTCATTTTAAGAGAAAGTACATCAATCCACATAAATGAGATATGAAAATTCATAAGAGTGATTGAATGAGTGAGTTTGGTTTTACGCCGCCTTTAGCAATATTGCAGCAATATCACGGCGGGGGACACCAGAAATGGGCCCATGTGGGGAATCGAACCCAGGTTTTCGGCGTGGCGAGCGAACGCTTTAACCACTAGGCTTGCCCACCGCCCCATGAAAATTCAAAAGAAATTCACAAGTAATTATAAGTTTCGCATTGATAAATATGTCACTGTATTCTATTTCTTTGTGTATGATTCCTTGTCCAACTACGTTATATGTCAAGTCAAAACATTAATTACACAACAGTCTCGTTTCCTGTTGACTGGGTTCCGTCCTTTTGCGCAACTTAGTACAATAACTAGTCCAGATTTTTTAGACCAATTCATTAAACTGGATACATAAATATTAATCAGTATCATTTGATACATGTCGTGCAGCGTGCTCTGTCGTACAGCGAGCTCTGACAAACAGAAACCTGGAAATCGTGTAAATCTCAAAACGAGGCTCTGCCGCTAGAAAAGGTTGGCTTGATGTTATATCAATCACATTGTGCGTTACTGAACTGCACTGATAAAGCGCAATCAACGCATAACAGGTGTAACCAGAGATGCATTGTGAATCATTTTACGACCTCATCAAACTGGGGCAGTCTGTGACGTCTTAGTTAAGGTCATGCTGTCTACACCTCGTCATAAATTACAGAAATACGATGTTATTAAAGTTTAGAATTAAAATTCATTTGTAAATACTATTTTCTTATGAAACAAGAAATTGAAATCCTGTGTAACAATAATTGTTTGTGATGTCTATTTTCACTTTCACACGAGAAAGTTCGGATAGGCTGAAAAGTAGGTTATTGTCTGAATAGGTTAATGAGACTCATGTTTCGGTTTGTAGATCAAAGTATATAAAAAATAGTAGAAACTTTCTTCTGGTGCATGTTGACGTCATCGCTCATGAATACTTCTATCGGTAATGGTTGAGTTATGTAATGGTAGTCGAACTTGTAACCATGTCGAAGTCTTAAATACAATCAATGCCTGTGAAGATTCAGAAGCCAATGCTTGTTGAAAGAGGCGACTAAGGGGATCGGGTGGTCAGGTTTGACATGGTTGATGCATGTCACTGTATCCTAGTTGAGTAGGTCGATGCTCATGCTTTTGATCACTGGAATGTCTTTTCTAGACACGATTATTTGCAGACCGCCGCCATATAGCTGGACTATGGCTGAGTGCTGTGTTAAACAACAAACAAACATTCAGAGATACACCTTGCGTATATATGCTCTTGCGAGTTGGGGAGTGAGTTGACGTGTCGACATGAATAGTTCTCACACGCAGTTACATTAGGTTCGAATAACCATTCATGTTGTGGGTAATTATCATGACTTATTGCTTTGTCTGTATTTTAGGGTAAATAGCTACAGACCATTCGTCTCAAGAGGACCCACAACAGCACACCCACGGCCGTTCCACGAGGCCAAATCAGTTCTAGGTTCAAACGAAGAAAGAAAATGTCTCAAGGTAAGTGTATCAAAATGGTCATTATTTTCCTCACTCCTCACACTTACTTGCACTCATGATCTCACATTTAAGATGCAACCTCGACACATTCTTGTTGAGAAAATTGACTGGAAACAGTCTGCCTGGCATGCTGAGACATAAATCCTTCCTCTCTGAGGTCTGACCGTTTGAGCTCACTAGATGAAATTAATACTTCATGTGCCTTCTGTCGGTTATATTAATCCATAACAACATGGTCAAACCGAATTGAATCCGTGTTTCAAACGAGTGTGTTATTCCTTGATCGCTTGTTAAGAGAGGTTGAATCCTTGGGCAACCTAGGCTAACAAACAGATGATCTTCGTGATAAAAAGAGGATGTTATCAGCCGTCGATCATTATTCTACAAGGCTTCTAATGCGTTGTATAAGATATCTCAAATGTTGAATCAGGCAGTGCTGACAATTTTTGGGGATCGAAATGATGAAGGATGTTACTGTTCGAATCCAATATGATCCGGATGGATAATCAAAGAAATATGTGGTGATGGGTGATCTTTTTATGGAAAGGATATGTATTAATGTACTCCTGTGTCCATCAAGAATCGAACTGAGAGCGAAAACCTCACGAAACAATGTATCTACGTGGCGTGTGAAGCACATCATGGCCACGGTTTGAGGCCCTCAGTTCGTGTCTTTATAAATATTTTCTGAACGTTTATGACTTAAG